AAACACTAACTGTTATTACGAGCTGAGCGTGCTTGGAAAAAACAATAATTTGATCGAGAACACCAAACTTTGAGTCTACCAACTCTGCCTTCTCAACACATTCCTGAATAGCATAGGCTGAGCATGAGAAAAGGATGAACAGTTTCCACCTCTGATGCCTTAAATGTAATCTCTTGCTCGGATCAGGATTCAATCCGATGATGTTTGTATGCTTCAGGATCTATCAGCATACATGTTTAACCAACATCATCTGCATTGGATGGAAAAGAGCCATATGCCCAAAGATCCTCTGTATGGTAAACTTGCCACAACCCGCTCAACATCCATTCCCAACTGTAAGTGATTTATAAAGATAGCAGACATCAACATAGAGATTATCGTTGATGACTGAGCACTGGAAGATGAATATCCAATGGGCCATTGAAAGAGAGGAAATAAAACAGGTCAGTTAGTCAAGTGGAGGGCCTAGTGAAAACAAACACCAGCACTTTCTCAGCCTACAACCAAATAAATGCATGGAAATGGCGATGCCCGAGTGGGGCTCCTGACCTATACCATGTGACCATTAGCACAGAATGGATCAGCAAACCACAAACCATTATCTCATGAGATGGAAACCAGTCAAGCATCTTTTCCTAAGCTGCTCCATAGTTTACATGCTACATCATAATCTGAGTGTTCATTCTGTTTTCTGAAATTGAGAAAATTATGGTAGGACCTGTGATGCAACCAGAAGCTAAATTAGTATTATGACTTTTGTTTGACATCAGACTTGTAACAATAGTTGATATCGAGCACACAAATTCACATGCCCTTCTTATGCAGACTGTTGCTCATCTCCAGTGAGTACTTCAGAGGGTGTAGCACAATTTTGTGCTGTAGCATTCATGATGCTCAGGTAGAATGACCATGTCACCTGACATGGTGCTTGCCTGCCTTCAGCTGCTCGGATACAGGTGGCTGCTGAAAGCCAGCTCACTCCAGGAAATTCCAAAAAGGTTGCATAACTGGACTTATAAGCCCTTAAGTACTTCAACTGGCTTGTTTTAAGAGCACTGGCAACTTTGGAGGCCTGTCTTTCCCACCGGGCAATTGAAAAATTGGACAAATGGGAAAGGAGGCATGGTATCCGGTTGCATGCTATCACCATTTCTTCAGGCCAATGGGAAAATCCAACTGTTAGAGTTCAAGTTAACGTATCCATCAACAATGATGCAATTTTGCATCACAAGGAAAAACTCGATCCTCTTGAATAGCTTTGAAAAGCAAATTTTCAATTTCACTACTGAAATCTTCTGAAAGATAGATATGTTGACTGTTGCAGAACAAACAAGCAGTAAAGGTTATGTATGGAACATTTACTGCATTAAAAGATACATTTACACTTCAATAATTATTAAGTTGTTATAAATTAGAATTGGGAATGACGTGTGTAAATGTACTCTGAAGTTAGCTTTATTTCAATTTCTGCAATGTCAAACAGAATTAATAGTACCATATTCTTGAATAACTGCAAAGATTCAAATGTGGTTTGTAAAAAAAAACAAAGGACCTTCCCCCACCCCCCCAACCAGGTTTTGGACACAAATCCTTTTGTCCTGGAAGCTGTACGAGCACAGTCTTTTTTTGGAAATTAACCTATTGAAACACATTGGGAGTTTGAAGAACAAATTCTTCGCAGACCATTCAGTTGCAGCATCAACCTCAGGGAGAAAGAGCTGCTATTTACATCTTCTGTATCGACATGCATATTTTTCCAAACAAAAAGTCATTTTTTGCTATTTCCTCTTGCTTGTTAAATTTTAGTTTCTTTTGCACAAAGAGCTCTTCAATAAATGGCATTCAAGACAACCACAAGCTAATTAGCTGACCTAAACAATATAAAACAAAAATAATTAAAAATGTATTTACTTCTTATAATAGTAATGGACAATTATGAGGTAGCAAGCTTTCCCAGATCTTTGGGCTAATAGTAAAATAGATAATTATAGTAAATCAAAATCATATTGACCAAAACTAAAAAATTGTGAATGAATCTTAAGGGTACTCTATTCAATATCAAACGGACCATATTCAAATTATATCTAAAATTAAATCATTGGCATGTTGGTTGACATTACTCAGGATGACAGTTGAGGCGCATAACTTCTCTTTTGAACCCTAGCCAGTGACCTGCGTCAGGAAATGTCAGACATGCAAGGGGATTCAGCTAAACAGCACCAAGTCCAATTGCAATTCCCTCCACTGCCAAATAGCCTGCTAATAATAGTGTGTGAAGAGTGGTCATTTAGATGAGATGCCCTTGGAAATTTATCCCAACAAGGAACAGACAACGGAGGGAAAAGACGACAAAGAGACAAAGAAAAGAAAATACTGGAGGAGGGTCAAATTGCTTCAACTTCTGGTGCAACCTGAATTAATTACTTCAAAAATGATTATCAAGTTCAAATAAAGAAATTGATTAGTATGCTTTTTGATTAATAGTCATTTAACCAACAACCCCTCCTAATTCTATTTAAACCTTCAGAAGATACATTTACTGCCCATTTTTTGTCGATTCAGTCACACCATAGCACATAATACTCCAGGGATTTATAGTATCTACAGCACTTTCCTTGAAATCAATTCCAGACTTCATCAGGAAACAATCATAAATCAGTGTGAATTTATCACACACTTGAGGTCATTCAATGTTCGACCAACGCCATTGATCAGTCAGCATTAGGAAAAAACCTAATCAAAAACAGAAAAAATGAAATCCTACAATTTGTTTTGGACATGGAGTTGGGGGCAGATGTTAGGGGGAAGCAGGGAAGATCGGGGAGGAGAGGGAAAAAGCAAAGAGTAAAATAAAGCTGGACTCATTCATCAAGTTGAGGTGACTATTATGGCCGTGAATGATTTTTCCGGACATTTTAATCCGCTGACTGGCTACAATGCAGTAATTCACTCACTAGTGTGCATTATTCCCTGCATAGCATTTGCTTTGTAACACCTCTATCATTTAATCCAAGCTAGATAAATTTCATATAGTGTACACCATCTAACCCAAAGGAAATCCAATAGCATGTCCTTGAATAAAATCCTTATGTTCGTAGCTTAAAAATTCCTTTGCCCATTATCTAACATTCTTCACTCCTGACAGCTTTTTCTCCTCTTACAATCCTTGCCCAAAATCTAAAGAGGGAGAAAAATTGGCACTTATAGTTACAAAGTATATCAAGAGCGAAAGATGATGTTTGAATTAATCAGACATGAACAGTACTGCCACAGTTCAACAGAGTGACAATCAGATGGAAGGTGGGCAAACAAGTTCTCATTAAACAATTATAGATTTTCTAACAATATTAAGCATTATATCCAGGGAAGTAAAATTAGAGAAATGAACTACATTCAAGGCCTTCTGGTGCATTTAAATAGGCTAAAGAATGCCAGATCAATTTTAATGCAGATAATTGCAAAGTAATGCACACTGCAGCAAAATAAAAGGAAACAAGCTGTGGGAGATGAGACTGATTGAGATTATTGGGACTAGTTGGAAAATACTAACAATGTGATTCCAATTTGGGGCTGACATTCTTTGAAGGTGGGATTCCCACAGTATTAAAAAGTCAGTTTATTTTTAGTGTTAAGTGTGACTCAGAGGTACCACTTAAATCTAAGCTGGAAGGTTACTAGTTTACTTCTCATTCGAGAGACTCAAGCACAATATTAAGGCTGCTATTCTAGGATACTGCCGAGAAAGCATTGCATGATTTGAAGAACTGTTTTCTAGATGAGACATTACAAACAGTGGCTTCATCTGTCCTCTCGATTGGACGTAGGAGATAATGTAGGCAATTTTCAAAGAAGCAAGGAAGTTTCTCAATGTTCAGGTCAGTACTGATCTATCAAATGAACGGATTGTTTGATGATTTTCACATTTCTGGGTTCAAATTGGCAACTGTGTTTCCTACATTACAGCAGTGACAATAGTTAAATATACTTCAGTGGCTGTAAAGTGTTTTAGGACACCCTGACGTCATGAAGTATGAATACAACTCCTTTTCCTAATTTTATATCAATTAGTCAAAAGTTGGATGCTTCATATAAATACAAATCTTAAATGTAGGGATGTTATATATTTAAAATATAATCTCTTTTAACAAGAGATTTTTACTAATTATCAGCATAATGTTGTACAATAACTTCAGTACCAAATTCAACACAGTGATCAGCACTGTGGCACCCAGTGATTGGCTCAGCCATGCAGATCTAAATGATCCCAGATGCAATCCCTACAGAGTACCAAATGAATTGACCTCCATTAAGATGGTACAAGGTACCTACAATTATAGCCGTAATCCAGATAAGTTGGGGTGGTAAGGAGGAGATAAACAATCTTGAACACAGCAATCATTGCTGAAACATTGCATGTGATGGGAGAGAATAACTAACAGGCAGACTTTGGAGAAATAATTCTTCTTCACAGTGGTACAAATGTTTATCAGAATCTCTGGAACAATGCTTCAGCAGTGTGCCCATGTCATTGAGAATGTGTGAAGGTGGGAGACAATGCAAGGGTAGTTAGTGGTGATAAATACTGTACACATGTAGTCATGTTTGTTTCAGAACAGCTAGTAAAAATAAGGATATCCAAAGTGAGGTATATGGGAGATGGTGGAGTGGAAAGACAGCAAAACTGGACAGCTAGAAAATTCATTCCAACAGATACCCTGATTTTACAAAAATATACATGCTTTAGTTGTGAAATATTTGGAAGTTGGGCATTATTACAGTGGGAACTGATTCCTTTTTCCTGTATATTTCAGGCTTCTCCATCATCAGACATGCACACAATCTGAAACCACATTTTACTATATTGCAAACCTGCACGATACAATCATCTTGAAATTTAAAATTGTCTTGACAAGGGATCAAGAACGGTTGTTGCCCATATTCTTTATGAACCATAAATTGCATTTACCTTTGTATAAAAAGAGGATTTAAATATGACTTACGGTCAAGTCCGTTGACGTATCTCATTGTTATCTCACAGTGCCCCCAGACTGCACTGACTATTGGGTACAGTTTTTTCCCTTTTAGACTTCTGAAGGCCACACCCAGATATTGTCCATCCACGATGAAACTCAATGTTCCTTCATCCATATCCAAAACCACCAATAAACTATCAGGGAGGACAAATGATTCATCTGGCTCCAAAAACACTGGATAGGTTAGTCCTGGCTGATTTTTACTATTGTGGTATAGTTTATTGCGACCCAAGTCCCAGCCCCATGATTCATTATTACTGCCAACTAATGAGGTGTATCCCACAGAATGCAATGGAGCTTCTGCTGTTGCCACACCAACCACAGCATGTGTTCCTCTTTGCCTTGTAGGCCAGTGAATCTGCCAGACATGAAGTCCACGTGTGTAGCCAACTTTACCTCGGATACAATCTGTGCTTTGGGCTACTGGATGTCTGTGAAAGGTTAACTTGTCATCTTCCTTTACAAAGATGTTCAGAGAACGGTCTTCGTTGTTCCAGGCATGTTTTAGTTGAATCTCTCGAGAAACTGATGGCATATCCAGTAACATGTCAAGCCGAGTTGGCTTGCAGAAGTCAGGGCCTCGCAACTCCCGCTTAACTGGCCTGTAGGCTGGTTCCCTCACATCCACAGACTTTATATTCCCTGAGATTTTCTGGCCCATTTCTTGGCTCAAAAACCACCGAGAAGGTTGTTACCTCATGTAAGCACCTCACAGGGAGCCAACAGTATGACAAGCAGCCTGATTTATTTCCTCCTTTTGCAGCCAAAGAACAGTTTCCTTCAGGGAAAGCTCCTGAAAGTAAAAAAGAAAGCAAATAAGTTTCAACAAGAAGTTTTTCGTACACATAACACTTCCCTCTTTTCCTCACTAACATTTCATAATCACTCCCTTATTTTAGCTCATATTTGAGGAAATGTGTATACTGCACCTCCATTGCTAAATCATCGAGCTATTCCTGGACAGTAACCAGTAAAAGAACCGACTGAGGATGCAATTTTCCCACACTACTGTAAGCTCAGTCAAAACTTCCTCGGATTCATAATGGGATACAGACAGACAGACAGACAGACAGACAGACATACTCCACATTAGCTTTTTCAAGCCCTCTCCACTCTATAGGGTCAGATAGCTAGTTTAAATTCCCCATTATGTAGAAGACATTCTGTACCAAACAAAATGTACTTGGCTTCCAGGTCTTCTTGCGCTGAATTACATTATCACGTAATTTACACAGTCATACTACAGTTTATAACTTAAATAATAAAGTAAACTTTGTTGTATGGGAAAACGTCATTACCTACTAAATTTCAATCAGATTGTTACATTTTTGCATTTAGACTAAGTGGAGTTATAAATGAGCAAGTCAAATTTATACCAGGTACTTACTGATACAACTGTCAGGAACTACTGAACAAACTAAGGCTCGCTTCTATAGAAGAGAGAAAATAAAGAGCTGACTCAATAATGTTTTTAGTTATGGTATGATATATTTGATGTAATTCCAGTTGTGCAGATCCAAAACTAGGAGGCAAAACTTTGAGATTGCCACTGTTTTTCTAGACAATGATGAGTACATTGGATATCAAGGAAATTAGCATACACATTTAAAGGGAAAGCTGATGAAGTACAAGAGGAAAAACAAAATCAAAATGTATATTGAATAGATGTAATAACACAGTTTGGGGAAGTACTTATGTGCTGCATAAACATGGTCATTGACTTGTTGGACCAAATGGTCAGTTTCTGTGCTGCCAAATGCTACATAATGTCTTCAGCCTTTCCATTCCTATATTTAAAGCAAAAAGTGCCTAACCATTCATGAAAATCTGAGCATTTTCCCTTTGAAGCCACATATTTAAACTAAAAATGACAAGTTCTTGCTGAACAAATCTCCTGTGGGCTATAGTACCTCAGAGTTTTTGAGAAAATGATATCCCAAATGGATTGAAAAAAGCCAAAAGATGTGATGTAACAAGAGTTCCAAAAAGCATTTGACACAAAAGATTATTTGAACTTCAAGCAGAATCAGATTCAAAGTAAAGTTTGGGAATGAATAGGGCCCACCAAGGGACAGACAGCAATGATTTTGGTTGAAGGACTTGTGTGAGGGAAGGGACAGAGAAAAGGTGATGGAGAGAGTATATTACTGATCAGATTTGTTCTCTGAAGATTCCGATATACATTAATAAAGTGACTTAAAATTCCAGTTCACAGACTATTCTGAATAGAGGTTTAATTACCAGCTCCCAGGTCTTCCACATCCAAATGAAGGCAAAATTCTGAATTTTGTTAGATCGAAAGTTTTCTTTTACTTTAATTGTCACTGGTCAGACCATGACCAATTAAGAGGAAATCACACTGGCAACAACATATTTGCAGATTGTTAGTATAATTTTCTCTTTCCTTTCAATTGTATCACATCATCCATCAGCGAATCTCATTATACCATTCATGCAATCGCATCATGGTATAATAATCTACAAAGTCACCGTATATGCGCTAAGCAAATGTATATGCGCTATACAAATGCATCACTATCAGATTCTGTTGCAAGTCCTTGGAACTATTCTCATTATGATTTACCACATTAATAAGAGAATATCTGTCTTACGAGGAGGAACTGAATTTGAAACAAAAACCCAATAAACTGCTAGTCAGAGCAGTGACACTACCGAACACAATTGACACGTGGCCAAGTTCTTTTCCTTCCCATAAGTCATGAAATTGAGTGAAAAAATGGTGTTAGAATATTTGGCACTTGACATCTTAAATCACTACAGAATATCAAGAACTAAATTATAATTCTGAACTATTTAAATAATATAATTGGAGAAAGTCATGTCACAATGTTATTTAGGTTTCTACTTTATCTGTAACTTCTTTAAGAAAACCACAAATTAATGCTCCAAAAAAAGAATTGACAAGCTAGCATCGCCTGCTGTGGAACAAAGTCTGTTCGTCTTAGATCAAGGCCATTGTCACAACAATATTTCAAACCAGGTGCAAATTCGGTATTTTTAGGTCTTGTGATTTCATTGGACCAGATTTCTCCAATACCTGATCATTGTCTGGCATTTAAGGAGAGCAAAAACAGATACCCCATCCCAAAAAAATGGTAATTACATTTTCAAGTCCTCACTTGCCTAGTCTTGGGCCTTCATTTCACCTACCCTCCCCTTGTTGCTTCCCATTTTCTATTTAAATACCATCCTATCTCTTACATAGCTTTTTATGTCTCCATATGTTTTTACTTTCCTTTTAGATTTTAGGAGCATTGTGTGTAGTATATCGAGCAAACATTTCACAATTGTAAGCACATATCAACATTTCCGAAGAGGTACTCAGTTCCCAGGCTTTAGATTTTTGAGACAGGATAGGAAAGGGGGATTGTTTTGCAGATGAAAAGAATTTTATATTTTTATACAAGAATTATATATTTATATTTGAAAAAATTAATGAACTCATGATTGTCTTTTAAATTTCATCTATTTTGAGGGCAAAGAAGTGCATAAGAATGGAATGGGAGTTGAAGGGCCAAGTGCCATTTAACAAATTCAACTTCTGCTGCTGACAGATGCTAAGTGTTCAACTAATTTTTCCATCGCTTTTGGCTGGAGCAATGGCCGGGTGGATAGTATTGGACAGCTGAATTTCATCCTTTCCCCTTGTCTGCATACTTGAACTCTGGATGAAAGAACAATCAGAAATCCTGAACAATTCTACCCTAGCAAAGCTCAATTTCCACAGCAATAAACATGGATTAATTCTGTTTTCTAATCAATTTTTTTTTGCATGATTCAAAATTACAGGGTGAATTGCACTAAGTTACTCAGTCTCATGGTAAATAAAACACACTATAGATTCCTGCAAGAAAGAAAAGAACGAACTTACTTTAATAAGCAGCTTTTGAAAACTCGGGTTTTCGGGCTCAAAACGTTTTGCAACTGTGTAAGCACTTTTAAAGGCAAGTAGGGAATTTTCCACACAGCCAGGTCGTCAAAATAGCAATTAAATTTTTTGTGATATTGATGGTGAAATAAATATTGGCACGGACATTGGCAGAACTCACCTGAACCCTACTAACTGTGGCTGGCGCAGTGTTCAATTGTTCTGTGTTTGATTGTGAGATTCTGTTTATTATTGATGTTCATGGTGCTTGATTGGCAAGCCTGGGTGTGGACTTTACAATTTTTTTTAATTCACTTGTAGGACATGGGCATTGCTTGCTGGCCAGCATGTATTGCCCTTCTGCCTTTGAGGAGGTTGTAGTGAGCTGTCCTCTTTAACTGCTGCTCAGTAGTGACGGTCTACGTTCTGTAGGTTGACCCAAAATGCCCTTTCAGGATTTTGTCCCAGTGACAGTGGAGGAACAGCAGTCTATTTCCAAGTCAGTATGGTGAGTGACTTGGAGGGTACCTTGCAACTAGTGGTGTTCTGCTGCCCTTATCTTTCTAAATGGAAGTGGTCATGGGTCTGGAAGGTACTGTCTAAGGATCTTTGGTGAATTTCTGCAGTGCATCTTATAGATAGCAATCACTGTTGCTACCGAACAATGGTGGTGAGGGAGTGGATACTTGTAGATGTGGTGCCAATCAAGTGGGATGTTTTGTCCTGGATAGTGTCAAGCTTCCTGAGTGCTGTTGGAGCTGCACTTATGTAGGCAAGTGGGGAGTATTCCGTCATACTTCTGACTTGTGCCTTGTAGTTGGATTTTGGTGAGTCAGGTGGTAAGTTATTTGCTGCAGTATTTCTAGCCTCTGACCTGCTCTTGTAGTCATTGTTTATACGGCATGTCAGGTTGAGTGTTTGGTCAATGATTACCCCAAGGATGTTGACAGAGGGGGGTTCAATGATGGCAACATCATTGAATATCCAAGGGTTGATGTGGACTTGTTGGGCCAAAGGGCCTGTTTACACACTGTAGGGAATCTACGATCTATGAATATCAAGGAGTGGTGGTTAAATTGTCCCTTTTTAGAGGTGGTCATTGCCTGGCATTTGTGAAGTACTAATGTTACTTGCTAATGGTCAGTCCAAGCCTGGGTATTGTTGCAAATCTAAGAAGTCACAAATGGTGCTGGACATTGTGCATTCACCAGTGAATATCCCCGCTTCTGACTTTATGATGGGAGGAAGATCATTGATGCAGCATCTGACGATGTTGGGCCTAACATATCCTGAAGGAGGGATCTGCTGGAGCTGAAATCACTGATCTTCACCAACCACACAGCCATCTTCATCTGTAGCAGGGACAATTCCAACAAGCAGAGAGCTTGCCCTGATTCCCATTGCTTCCATTTTTGTTCGGGGTCCTTGAGGTCACACTTCATTGAATATGTCGTTGATGTCAAGGGCTGTCACGGTCACTTCACCTCTGAAATTCAGTTCTTTTGTCGATGCTTGAACCAAGGTTGTAATGAGGTCAGGGGCTGAGTGCCCCTGGCAGAACCCAAAATGAGCAGGTGCTGCTTGATAGCACTGTTGATGACACCTTCCATCACTTTACAGAGCAAGATTACACTGATGGGACAGTAATTGCCTGGGTTGGAATTGTCCTGCTTTTTTTTTTTTGAAATGTGCAGGAGACACCTGGGCAATTTTTCACATTTTCTGGTAGATGCCAGTGTTGTAACTGTACTAGAATAGCTTGGCTAGGGGAGTGGCAGGTTCAGGAGCACAGATCTTCAGTAATATTGCCAGAATGTTGTCAGGGCCCATAGTCTTTGCTCTATCCAATACCTCAAACATTCTTTGATACTGCATGGTGTGAATCACATTGGCTGAAGACTGGT